GATGCTTGGGGTTTTTATACCCCAAGTGAAGGACTCTGCATTTGGCCTTATTAAAGCTCATGCCATTGGCCTCGGCCCAACGATCCAGTCTGTTCAAATCCCTCCCAGCTTGGTGTCGTCCGCAAATTTACTGAGGGTAAAATCTTGATACAGCCATGAAGATCCACGTGTCCTGGAAGATGGGCAGCCCAAGGTAGCTGCCTGGAAAATGCCACACCGTAATGCTTCTGAAGGAAAATGCTGCCCAGAGCTCAGAGAATCATCTCCTAGGACCTCCAAACCATCTACCATATGTGCACCAGGCCCTGTCCCCACAGACAGCCCTGAGGGCAGCACTGGCCTGAGAACTTGCTGGCACCCCACTGGAAGCGCTGGGCGTGATGAACGCTGCAGGCTTGATCCTTCTCCTCCCCTTGTCTGGGGTTCATCGCACAGAGCACAGCTCCCTGGAGCGCTGGTCGGCTGGCTCTGCCGGGCACTGCTGGCACGCTGCTGGCAAACAGCTGGCACACAGCTGGCCCCCATGGTTTGTAACCACCAGGCACCTGCAGCTCCTGCCTGCAGAGCTGCTCCCAGCTCGGCCCAATGTTTGGGGCTGCTCCAGCCCAGGCTCTGCATTCCCTCAGACATTTCCAGCTCCCCCTAGACTAGCACCTCATCTCTAACATCCTCCTCCTCCTCCTCATGCCGTTTCATTTATCCTCCCCATCCCTGGGATACCCTTGCAAATGTAATAGCCCATTTAAAAAGCCACAAACCAGCCCTTTTTCACTTACGAGTCCCATCACACTGAGCCTATTGCATCTCCGCAGCCACCACCAGATTTCAGCTGGTAGTTTCCATCTCTGCTCTTCTCCTTCAGCTTCATCAGCAAAACAAGGAGGTCTGCAGGCATCTACTCTAGAGAGCAGGCAATTAGACTTCAGTTAGAACAAACTGTCCACCTGAAGGCAGGCAAAACCTCACCTCTTGTGATTAAAAACGAGATAACAGATGTATCAGTCATTAACTATGCCCAGATTGTAATCTTGGCTCTTGCATGATTAAATAGCTTCTTAACCGCAATGTTAGCTGGTCCTCAAATATTTGTATATTGGATGCCTTGCCTCCAGTGATGTAATCAGCTGGAAGCGCTTCAACCTTCTCCTGAATTGCAGGAGAAGAATTTGCTTTGTCTGAAAGGAAAGAAACTTCATAGACAATTATGGACAGCTCCATGGAAAATGCAGGAGTTTCTGATGTTTCTCATTTTACAGTCAGCTTTATCTGACAGAGATGAGCAAATTGCGTGCTGGGTAAAACATCTACACAAGCATCTGCATTAATGTGAACAAGCTGGTGAAAACAGGAAACCCACAAAAGATGGTTTCTATGGAGGGATCGAAGCTCCTCGTGGGTCTGTGGCAGCCTGACTCAAGGCCAGCCCGGCCTGCCTCCCGCTCGCCTGAGCCAACGATGGTCCGTCCATTCCCCACCTCTGATCTTTGCATTGGGACTGTGGTCACCTCCTGCACTTCGTCTCCCTTACGGTAACAGAACCAAGCATTAAACCCCATTTGCTTTGGGACAGGGAAGAAAATGCCTTATTCCTGATTCATGGGGAAATGCTCCAACGTGAATAACTGTCTTGTAGGTCTGAGAAGAGCCCTGAATCTCTTCCAAAGAGCAGAGGCAAGGCAAAGGAGTCCTGAAGACCCTCGTGGGAGCAGACGCAAGTGCAGCTAGTGGGGAAAGAGGGAGATTGGTGGTTACTTCACTGCTTAAATTTCTGAAAAGGCAAATGATATTCACCCTACCACTTCCTTACCTTGCAGCTCCTCATTTCTACTAGCACCCAAGATAGACCTGCAAGGCTTGTGTGGATTCTTTTGGAGGCACCAGCTAGAAATCTGTCAGACAATTCCCAGTGCTCTGGCTGGTGGAGAAAAGATCCACTGAGAACGATGTGTTGTTTTACCCTGCGCTAGCAGCGAGAACAAAAATTACTGAGTGACTAAGGGTTCAAGGCAGATGGCCTCTACTCAGAAAAGACAGGCTGGGACCCTTGTGTTGAGTGATGGCCTATGCACCTCAGGGGCCAGGAAAATGTGGTGTGGGATCTCAGTTTGGGTTGCACAGGAACAGCGCTCAGGTCCAGGTCAGATGGGGAGAGCTGCTCTGCATTGGGTGCTACTAGCTAAGGACCTGTCCCTACAGCCTGTCTTTCTTCAAGATTACACAAGGGTCTGCCCAGTTCCACCATCTCATCCCACTATGCTGATGGGTCATTGCTCAAGATCTCAACATCACGCACATCTCCAGTTTTTGTGCAGCAGTGTCCCTGTATGATCTTCTGTGGCACCGTCACCACTTTTAGGCCAGAACATGGGGCACTTCTCCATGTGCTGGGTGAGGAAAAGCAAGAACAGAGTGCAAGGAAGCAGCAGGACATCTGCAAGTGTGGATGCAATCACCTGCTACCGACGTGCACCTTATTCCTGATTCTGAGCAGAGACAAAACACTCATCTGCTCCCTGCAACACAGGGAAACTGAAAATGATCCATCTGTTCCCTGCAACACAGGGAAACTGAAAATGATCCATCTGCTCCCTGCAACACAGGGGAGCAAACGAAAAACAACTGATGCAGTCTGCCACTTTAGGCTCTCTCTGCTACCAAAGCTGAGGCTGTTCTGGGTCAGCGTCTGAGTCAACTCACCTCAGCTCGCTGTTCCTGCAAGGACAGGCGCAAACTGAAGGTCACCTAAATGCAGTAAGTTTTGATTCCTTTAGCCCAGGTTTATGCATTCTTGATTTTGCTCCACAGTAAGATGCAAGCTAAGCATGAGCACGCGTTCCTGAACGCTAGTTTGCTATGTTGCTTACAAGAGTTTGCAAACCCAACACTTTGCATCCTACTGAAGGTGCATTTAGACTGAGCTGGCAAACAGAACCAAAGCCTTCAATCCACTGCTGAGCAGGCATGGCCTTGGAATTAGAATTTTCATTACCAGAGTGAGGTAAAACTCAATTAAATTCTCCATGCTTATTTGTATATCCGTGATTGCTCTTTCGAAACCTGCATCAAAATCAATGCAAAATATTGCTCCTAAGTGTCTTTAACATCAGAACTTCAAACGTAAATTCCCAGGCTGGTCTTGAAGTATTTCTAAGGTATTTTCTCCTGTACTAACAAAACAGGTGGTACAAGCACCTTTTGGCATGCAGAGAAAGGCCATGACAAGGAGTCGCAGACTGGAGGCATAGAAGTTAACTCCTGACTTGTTTCATAGCCTGAATTGCTTTAAAACTTTGTGATAAACCACTGTTTGGGTTCGGTTCCACTGTTTCTTTTGCCATGCCCATGACAAAAACATGTTGTTGCCAGTTAGAGCATTGTTCCCAGCATGTGGATGCAGAGTTTGTTTATCTTCTGGTGGGACTTGGGTGATGGATCCTCCAACCAGTGAGCTAATCTAACATCTACCACGTACCTCTGCATGCTTCGGTTGGAGATCTGCTACATGAAGGGGGTTTACTCCATCTTGGTCAGCAGCTGGTGTGTATCATGGACTTTTTTCCTTTAATCCTCCAACATCTGTAGAACTTTTGGACCCTACCCAGAACTCAGAGACTCTCCTGTGCTCAGTACCAAACCGGCAGAAAATGAAGTTAGGTCTTACCCCAGCACACGTGCAGAGGAGAGTACCATAAGACAGGCTGGATTGTAGGTTTTGGATGGGACTTCCAATGCCAGGCAAACACTGCAATGGCTGACCTCAGACATTTGGGTTCTGCCTCATTTGGGCAACTCCCTCACTTGCATGAATAACGTTTGCACAACTTCAGCTGTTGCCCACCATCACTTTGCCCCACTTCCTCCCCATCAGAAGACACAAAAATTTCTTTCTGATTTCACAGTTCCCCCACCATAATGCGTGAGCCTAGAAAGGGAAAGTGCACACACTAAATCCCACTACTGCTGCTTGCTTCAAGATCTCCCAGACATTGGCATTTTGCAAAAAAGGCACCAAGAAACCCACACTGAGCTCATTCTGAGGATTCTTTATTGCTTTTACAATCTTGTATTTTCAGTAGTTTCCCAAGAGCCTGTGAAAGAAACATGGGATCTGCTGATTTAACATCATCTTCAGGAATCAAGAAAATGCATGCTTGAAGTCGAAGTCACGTTCACCGTCTGTTTCATCTGAACATCTCCTAGTCGAACAGCGGTCCGAAGAATTGTGGGAAAGCAAACAGTGTTACTGAATGGTAGCAATGGGAGCAGCAATATGAATGGCATGAGACAGCTACTGGTGCCCTCCTCCGAAATGTAAGCCTAGACAGCCTGTTCATGTGGGCTGCACTTTGCCAGTTGCATCTCTGAGCACAAGAGACAGAGGGATATAAGCTTTTACCATACTGTCCGTCTGACGTTTGCCCAGGGAGATTTCTTCATTCCCTGAGCTTCTTTCACTTCACTCCACTCCAGCTTTGTGTCTGGAACCTCATCTTCTGGCTCGGGATCCTCGCGGACAGTCCCCTCAGGCAGTGCCACGACGATGGGCAGAGGGCCCTGCTCTTCCCGGAACTCCACTACATAGAGACTTTTCTGGTTCGCTAACTGTTGGTGAGTCTCCTGGGAGCAGGAAAGAGAAAACACGATCAAAGCAACCATGTACAATGTTGGTTTACTTCAGGTCGAACTCTACATGTTATATGGGCTAGGAAAAGAAAAATTTACTAATAAACACTTAAAACACCACGTAAAGACTCGTCAGGCTC